ATATATATATATATATAGTGACCGCTGATGCCCCATGGCCCCTATGTACATCAGCCCCGCTTGATTTTCTTCCTCCACTTTGAAGATCCTCAGAAGAATCAAAGAACGGGCATACAAAAATCGTGACCGGACTTTAGTTAAAAGTCAGCGCTTATCAAGATTGAGATCCAAAATCTTGACAAACTACACTGAAATCCTACTTGGTGGTCGGAACTGCAAGCAACTATGGAGTGCTATGAAAAAGCTCTGTGGAACAAGTCGAACGACACGGGCCTCAACCCATATCAGCTGCAGGTTTTCCACGCCAAGTCAAACTGAAGTATCGTATCCATATTTTCAATCACTTGACCGTCGTGAATTTCCACATGTCAATTCTAATCATATGCAGGCACAACTGATGTGCCTCAAAACATCAAAAGCTTCCGGTCCCGACGGACTATGTCCAGTCATCCTCAGGGAATGTGAGTGTCATCTGGCGGGGCCGGTAATTTCAGCCATTGCTTCGAGGAACAAAAGACTGTCGACCGTTGGAGACCGGTCCCAGAAAAGAAAACCGGGAAATTGCGACCAATCGCCCGCACTTCTGCTTTACTGAAAATTTTCGAAATGTTCAGGCTCAGTAGCATCATTCCTAACACTGAGAAATTTGATCACAGCCATTAAATCTATCGCAAACAACGTTCTACCTTAGACGCCCTTATGCATTTGGTAAACTCGGTTTTGCGATAACTAGACATGCACGGCACAGTATTTCGTGTGTGTTTCCTCGACTATAGTAATGCTTTCAACTGTGTCGATAGGGGCAGACTTTTGTCTCTACTCCAGGGTGCTGGATTTTCCCATACTACCCTGTCTCTACTCCAAGATTATTTTACTGATAGAACACACTTTACGAAGTCTCTTGGAAAAATTTCTGATTCGCTACTGGTCAATTCAGGCGTGCTCCAGGGAGCAATTCTGTTTCCTTTTCTTTTCNTTTCTCTTTCTATGTTCGAGACCTATCCACTGACCCAGAGGATCTTCTTGTTAAGTATGCGGATTATGTCACTATAGGTTCCAAATTCCAAGATGATTTCCGCTTCTCACAGCTTCAAACCAGTTTACCTGCCTTAAGCTTGTGGTCCTTGTCTTCCAAGTTATCTCTCAATGCCTCTAAATGTAGGGATCCTACCTTGTCGCTAGCCAAAGGAGAACGGCTGCATTCATCTGAAAGGAATTGTTCTGTGCTTCATATTGACGACCAGCTTGTACTCAAGTACATTCTCTGCAATACCTCAGCCACTATCTCCCAGGATGTCACCTGTACTTGACATTTAAACTTCGCTTTTAAAAAGATCGGAGAACGCTATTTTCACTTTTTCTTCATGACCGTATGCAATGACAAATGATCCCGGTGTGGAAGGAGCTGAGGATTCATCCATTAGGATGAATGAAGGGCTTTCGACTTGATTCAACAACGTATATGAGAATACTTTCGGCGTGTTTGCTCACCAGGTGTACGTGTATTCCATAACCTATCCTCAAATAAAGAACTAATAAACACCGTTCAGTGAAATTGGGCGAACAGCTCACTGACAGACGACAACAGGTTTAGTTACCCGGGAAAATGCATCCAGATCACACACTGCAAAAGCAATTGTAGTTAAGACAAGGGCGCAGTCCCTGTTAACTAAGTGTGTGATTCGTGTGCTTGTCTCGCCACTGAAGCTTCCGGTTCATAGTTGCTTTTTCATTTGCCAATGGGAATTCGTCGTGTATATGGCAAATAAAGCGTGAACTGAAAGCTAGGAAGCACGGGACAGCTGTTTCAACCTGGTTGGGTCTTATCAGCAGTGTGAATCCATCGACCCGACTGGGGATCGAAACCGGGACCTCATGGGCAGAACACAAGCATGCTATTTCTCTGTGTCTTGCAGATCATTTGGAAGCCCCGTCCACGGAGCACCTCCTGTCGGTGGTGTGTCCTACCTTGTGTGTATTGAGAGCATCGGTGAGTGGTCAGGGATTGTGTGCGGCCTTTTAGGGACGACGTCAGTTGTTTGAGAGCTTGGACTGCGTTGCCCGGAGTCAACCAGTCGGTTTATTTCGAGTGAATTCAGACCATGGGGTCGGTCTTGCATACCACACAGTGAATAAAAATGGTTGGAATTGATTACGCAGAAGAAAAAATCCGACGAGTTGGAAGTCGGGCCGTAATCCGGCAGACTTACCGCAGATAGATAACGCCCCACAAATAGTTGCGGAACCAGATTGCCGTGCCCGAGTTTGACTGATATTTGCGAATGAGAATGGGGTGCGGGACCGGCAGAAGACCAACTAGGGTGCCGTTTTGCAAAAACTTCACAATCTCCGATTCGTCCGTTAGACCTCTAGATTCGGTCACATATATAAGAACAGAGGGGAATAAAGTCACGAACCGGAATACTCCGTGACAGATGAATTTAAGCTAAAAATGTACACCGAAGGGGAAACAAAGTTCGTTGGTGGTGATTAAAAACGGTAGTTCAGTACAAGGAATACATACATTCACTTCAGTGGCCGGAGTAATAAAACGCTCGGATAATCTATGGTGCCGTATCAACTTATCACGCACACACATACAGTACCTTAAAAACGCCTTCAAGCCTTCGTAAGCAATTTTTAGCAATGCAAACTTTTCAAGTTTGTGATGGCTGAAACCCAGAAAAGCAGGATTGGGTTCCTTTTGTACCAGTGCTTACATTTATTTACGGTTCATATATGTTTGAGTCAAAACTGCGTGTCAAACAAATCACGGTACAATAATCTCTAAATTAAAGAATCGTTCCGTGATTGGCTCGCGAGTGAATGANACAGCAGGTGGTATTTGAAAGCCGCAATCCTTTTGGGAAGTTGTTTGGTGGATCGGATCATATGCCCCTTGAACAAAGTCAGACGTCAAAGTTATCCAGCACATCGCGATACCTAATCCAGCCGATGAGCACTGCTACAACCAGGAAGGTGTAGGTGTAGTTTGTACGGCTTTTCTAGGTTGATCTAAAATCACAGGTTTTAATAAATCCTCTGGAAATGCTTCACCGACTCCGTTACAGTCCAGAATGTTAGCTTCTCATCACAGCATTTTGGTGAGAAAACACCAACACGTAAAGGCAGTGGGTACAGCTTCGTCAGCAGAGCCTAACTGAGCATCTTAGGAGCATGTTCAAGGTGAGCAGTCACCGGAGACACACACACGACCATACCGAGACTTTCGGAGTCTAAATATAGCTGAGTGAATTTTAAAGGAAAGTTAATTAACATTCAGTAGCAGAGATGCATGGGTACAATGTCACGTAGAGTTGGTACCAGCTGGAGTAACCTGAGGATCCCATGGGACTTCACCACAAGTTCAGTGGACGTGCATAACTGACAACTGCTAACAAATGGATGCACGTACAAATTTCATTGACCTATGAGACGATATAAAAAGTAAAAGGTGGTGAATATCATTCGAAATAAACGTACTTATCGATACAAATTTTCTCCACCTGTGGCACAAGGACTTGTAGCAGACGCATAATAGTCTGGAATGGCATTTTCGCTTTCCAACCCATGGCCCATTCGGGTGTAGGACTCCAGTTGGCAGTGGGACTATCCATGGTATTCAATTCGGATTGAACGACGGTATGATCGGAACCGGCGGATGAATTTCGTAATTCCACCGTGGAACCGGAATCTGAATGTGGTGCAGTACGCAAAGACGACTTTTTATGGCTAGTGGACTTGACGGTGGATGAGTTGGATTCTTGTTGAAGCAGCTGAAGTGGGTGAAATATTAGACTGATATGAGAAATTCTGAAAAGCTTAAATAAAATGGAAATAACAGAACCAAACACCAATTTAATCGTTTAAGCACAGCAGCATCTAACGTATTAAGCAAGCTAGGTAATCAATCAACCATTCGATTTTGCGCTGCGTATTCAAAAATTGATTGACTGATTAGTTGCCGCCGGACGAAATTCAATCAGAACGGGGTTTCGATTATCCCTAACCGACAATTCAATTGAGCAGGGTGAATGAAAATCCCTGTCATGCTTGCGGTCTAGAGAGCTAATACATCGGTTAGAATAGCGGTTAGGAATTCAGCAATATGGTTGTAAATATCGCCGTAGCTTGATAGAGGAGTATTGTTGAATAGAAGAAAACCGGGCGAAAAACATCACACCTTTCGCAGCAAACCACGGTGGAAATTGACAGACGGATCTGCGAAAGGTGACTTCTCATCGGCTATTTCTTTTTCATTCGGCGATAATCGGACAGGGAGGATGGTGTAAAACTTCAATGGTCACTAGAATACATCGAACATTGCACAACCCAGTAGCCAGTTTTCTACCATATTCATACCACCATTTGGATAGCCGTGTTTGGATAGATGAGTTGAATTCATTTAGGAATTCACAACATCCAAAAGAAATTAAGAGCTTGGCTTGGTTTTTCTTCCGTATTTACTACACACTAATATGTGATATATAGCAGTCAGGGCGGACCCCATAGTCAAGAAAACCTGCTGTTCAGTGATGGAAACCGGTAACCAAAACGCTGGAACTTGGAGTGGCGAACCACATAAGGCCCCGCTAGCTCAGGCGTGGTATTAAACAGGACGTCAGCAAAGCTGCCTACCACCAAAGTTGGGTGACGGTGGTGGGGCTCGAACCCCGGACCACAGGGTCCGAAGCACGCCGGTGACAGCGACTAAACCACTGCGCCGCCGCCACCCGTAGTGTATATAATGTCACGTTGGGCAAAAAAAGAAAACGATAACACCTTTTGGAGTCGACTGAAACGTAATGATTAGGAAAACAGCTTACATACCATTCGGCACTACGGACCAGGAGCGTAACACTTGCAAAGCACGATCTTACGTGCGAAGTGGCAAGCTATTTAGGCGTCCAGAACTGGGACAAACAAAGAGGATAGAGACTAACTCACGGAACTTGATCCGATACCCGGATGATGCAGTGGAACGGAAGGTGCGTGATCTGAGTGCTCGGTTTGTCCGGGCGTAGTGGACGAGCGATCAGAAGCGTTCGATCCGGTGCGTGAATGACGAGTTGGAGAAAAGTTGGACACCAGAGGAGCATCATCCAATGTTGTCTGTTGTGTGCCGTTCAGCAGCACTGGATCGGATAAGGTTTCCGGATTCGGATGTGCGGGATCTGATTGCATGTGACTGTGAGCATTTGCCAGCTGTGGATCGGTCATATTCCGAACAGCTGGAGTCTCAGCTAGTGTAGCCTGGAACGTTCGTGGACCGGATGAGGCACCATTACCATTAGGCTTCATTTGAAAAGAGACAAACGGTGCGGAACAGAAAGAATAGTTCAGTTTTTATCCAAACGATCATTCGAATTGACTTACACGGGTGGGTTGGTGAGCAAACTTCAGGCACAGTTTAAACAAGTCAAGATGCAACACATAATAACCTAAGTTAAATTTTTTT